ACCGATCGAGTGAGACGTTGGTTCCTCCCCCCCCCCCGAACCTCCTTATCACCCGAAGGGTGGTCGTATAGGTATGGTGTACGCGAACACCTCTGGATCCTCACTGTTGTCCCAACTTTGTTATCCATCGAGGATTCGATGCGCAGGGCGCACTTTCCTCGCGCGGGCACGCACGGGATGCAGCCGCTCAGCCGCAAATGGCCCGCACAGTGGCCTTGCTCGCTGGCCCTGCTCGAGCATGGCGCGGAGGACAAGTTCCAGTGGTAATTCTGACGGGGGGGCGCATCGACCCCCAATCGCCGATTCGTCGCCGATGCGCGCACCCCGCCCAGGAGCGTGGGGTCTCGCTAAATCGGGCCTATAGCGACCTATCCGCGATGTATCGTCGACTCCAGCTCGATGCTTCTCCTGCTGAGCCATTCCCACCAGACCGTTTCCCTTCGAAATTTCAGAAGGAAAGGGAGCCCTGGGCCCAAGCCTATTCCACGAAGCGCAGGGAGCGGAACAGCGCAATGGCAGATGTGCATGCGTGCGAGGTCGAGCGTGCGAGTGCGCGTCCTTTGGAATACGTCGTTTAACACAGCGCCGCTTGGCATCTGTGTATGAATGACTTGTGCACGTGCGTTTGTACGGGTACAGCAGGCACACTCCAATGGCCTGCGAGTAGACGCCCCGAGAAGTGTCTTCTCCCACGAGGCCCGCAGAAGCTCTGGGGCATCTCAGGACCAGCAAGGATCGACGAATGAGGTCTGGCAAGACTTATAGCCAGATGTTTTATTGTAAAGTGCCTACTGTAGTGGTGTGGGTGCCTCTGTCGCGGCCTATGGAAGTGTGCAGTCACGCGCGTCCCCGTCTCACCGGTTCTCGGTATCTCCACATCTACTTTCGCTGCACGTGCGCACCTGCATCCGCTGATCGATTCGCTGCCTGCCGCTGTCTTTGCCAGACCTTCAAGATACACGTCAGTGTGACAATGTATCCACATCTACCTCCCCATCTGGGCAACACACACCTCTGTTTCTTCCCTCCTCAATCCTCGTCGTCGTGATCGTGGTGCGTGTTGCTCTGCTCGGGACTTGTTTCCATCATGCGGTGGCCACCACCCCCACCCTCCGTCTTCCCCCCCCCCTCCCTTCTCCGTCCTCCCCCTCTCCCTCATTGCGCTCCTCCTCCCCCCCATCCTGGGTGGACCAACAGGTACCGACGCTGCTCCCTGAACCTCTCCCAGGGTGCGTTCTGACCAGAATTTCGAAGCGAGTCTAGCTGAGGCGACGAGCCCAGGCATGCGATGTCTTGATTACTACAGTACGCGTTTCCCGAAGGCCCAGCGAAGGCCCTTGGAGGCAGACAATTGTTAAACACCGCCCGCCGTGCTTTCCGTCACGACGCGAGAGCATGCCTTGGAGGGCTTTCCAGGACGAGCAGTGGCATCGGTATCTTCTCCCCCTCTGATCCTCCGAGTGTGTAGGAGCGGCGCGCCCTGAAGGGGCTGCCGCCACGCCCCTGAGATCCGACGTGGCGCAAAAAGTGCACCATCGAGGAAAATCATTACCAGAGCTCTAGACACCAACTTTCTGTGGCGTGTTTCGAGCCGGATCGATCCGTGATGTTCTCGGAGCCCGAAAGTTGGCGAACGTACGCCCAGTGAGCGGAATGAGTGGTTTTGTGGGCTGAGGGGAAGGGCGGAGGGCAAGCAGCACAGGCAGCAGCGGGAACACGAGCGGCTGGAGCCGCAGCCAGTTTCCCCAATGACAGGATCCGCGAACACACGCCACAGCTGGTGTGGGCAAAAAATGACACGCCGGGGTTTCAGGGGCCGCCAGGGCGACGCACCATCTCAGGCCAAAGCGCCGCGAGCTGCTGGGGCGCGCGCGCGGACGCCCGCGCGCCCTGCAGCGGCCGCCCTCGGCCGTGCGCGACTGTCGCTCGCGGGCTGCGGGCTGGGGACAGGACTGCGAGCCCGGGGTTCGCGCGAGTCCGCCGCCTCGGGCGTTGCTGAATGGTGGGCTCGAGACAACTTGTTGTCACTCCTCGGCGATCGAGGGCGTGACCGGGGAGAGGGGGGGGCACGTTTCGATTCGCACTGGCGCCGTCTGGGAGTCATTACCAGACGGCGCTGGCGCGAATCGTGACGTGACCAGGTGGGCGGGAAGGGGATGGGGGGCGGGGCCGGTCGTGGGCGTCATCGCAACATATATTGTTTGAAGTGTTTAAACGAGGGGATGATGACAAGTGCACCTTTCGTGCACCTTGGGAGCCCCGTGGGGACCAACATGCGTACCAAAGGCGCAAGTGTCCCCCCCCCCCCGTTCGTCGCCCCCCCATTACGAAACGCCGCCTGGGAGAAGCGACCTCCTGGCACGCCAGGAGGCGGCGGACTTGTCAAAGAATGAAGAGGTACCGATACTACTACCAACTACCATTGCCCCGTTTTTGCCTTGTTGGGCCTCCTGTGAGGCCCACGTCCCCTCGGCTGCACTCGCCTCGAAGTTCTGGTTAGAGCTTACCCTGGGGGAGGCCTGGGGAGTGATGGTATCGGATATGGACTTGCTTGGGCTGACGAGCGGACAAATCAGCCTCATACTTATAGGGAGGTTCCCGCGCCTCGCGATCCATCCTAGAGGTCCACGCGGACAAATCTTGGCGTCGTATATGTATGGTTTTTTCTCGTCAGCTCACCATGGGACCAGATCGCTAATCCGTGCTGGCGTGTGCCCGACCGACCCCACGGCGACCAGCTCGCCAGGTCCAGGAAGGTCGGAAATTGCTCCCTCCCTGACGCTGTGGGTCGTGGGCGGATCACGACAGGCGCTCCCCACCCCTGGTCGTGGGGCCCGGGACCCTCCGTGGATCATTCCACCTTGAGAGAACTCCCGCGTGAAGATCGGAGGGCAGAAAAGCGGCACCGCCACCACGGGTGTCACCTCAAGCGACCACCCTGAGATCCAGGCGTGGCATTTTGTCGCTTCGGATCAGTTTTGCCCAGATTCGGGCCCACCGCAGATCAATCCCGCTCGGAAAACGCAGCAGCAAGATTCGACCTTGCAATTTTCGCGACATCGGATCTCAGGGAAGGTCCACGACGCCTCCCCCAGCTGGGGATAAAAATGGGTGCCTCGAACGGGGCAGGGGGGGGCGACACCACAGGCAGGACCTCCACTTGGCGCTCCTCGCGTCAGTGGTGGTGGTGTCGCCTCTTCGTTCCGAGGAGATGGGAGAGGGAGCTCTGACGCACTCTGCTGCTGTGGCGCTGTCTGTTTGTTGCCCCCCTCGCGACATCGGATTCCGAAGCTTCCCTTGGGCCACTCACGCAGGCCATCCCGCTGATGGGCTGCGTTTCTCCCCACCGCCCGCGGCGTCCGCGATGCCTCCCTCGCACCGGCCTGGGGCCACACCGCCTCGCACTGCTTTCTGCCCGCACGCCTGGCAGTCCCTTTACTTCTCGTTGCGGCCTCCTTCGCCTCTTTTGACCAGGTCTTTGGCAGTTGGGCATGATGAGCAGCAGGAGGCGGATTTGTGTTTGTTGTTCTCAGTTCGGGTGTTGTTCCGCGTTTGGGTCGAGAGGCAGTTTCTGGGGCCCAGGGCCAGGACCATGAAGCTGGGGCGAAAAACTGGCCGTAGGGAAGGGACCGTGACCTCTGGGGCCCACGGAAGAGAGGCGGTGGCGGCGGCGGAGCTCGTGGGATGAAGAGAGGAACGTAAGGAGGAAAGGGGGGGGGGGCGCGGAGGAGAACGGCTGTGTCGCTTTCCTACGTCCTCAACCACGGCCCCCTCCCTCATTCCTCCTCCCTCTTCTTTCTCTCTCTCTCTCTCTCTCTCTCTCTCTTCTCCTCCCCGCTTCCCCCTTTCCAAAAATTCCCGCGACACTTAAGATTTTTTAGAGTCGTCAGCACCTTGCCCCCTCCTCCCCAGGCCCTCCGAGCCCAGACCCCCTACGTCGGGATTTTATTGCAGCATTGGCCCCTGGATGTCTCGACACCTTTCCTTCCCTGGGACTGGCTTCTCATCCTGAGTCATGTTTGATGGTTCCAGGGCCCGGCGAGGCCCGCTTGAGACCGAAATTTGCATAACATTTCCCGTCGCGATTTAGTTGCCAATACAGCGGGCCTGGGGTTTTGAGGTGTCACGGGGATGTGTGGGAGTCCCCTGAGCTCACGATCACGCCAGGACTGGCTGTTCGTCCCTAGGTGGGACGATGTTTGCTTCTTCGGGGCTCCCTTAACGGCCTCTTGGGGCGTCTTGGGGGCCGTCTTCGGACCATCGAGGTTCCTCCTGGAGCGCTCTTGTGCTGTCTTGGGTCTCTCTTGCGCCTCTCCGATGACCCTTTCTGATCGTTTTGAGTCTGCTCGCAAGGCCCAGCAAGACGCCCTGGGAGGCCCTGAGGGGCCAGCGGACCTTTCTGTCCAAGGGGGTCCCGGGTGCCGCCGAGACGTCCGAAAGGGCGTCCGGGGGGGGCGTCCCTGGGGGAGGGTGCGGTTCAGGGGGGGAGAGGGTGGGGGGGTCCGGGCAATAAAAATATATGAATCTCTCTCTCTCTCTCTCTCTCGGTTTCTCTCTCTTTGCCCCCCCAGCCCCCAGGGTCCGAATATTTACCGTCTGCCGAGGTCCCAGAAGGTCGATCCCCCAGGCGGTGGTCATGGACAAATTGCCGCCTCGGGCTAGACCGTCCAAAAACCTCGATCCTCGACCCTCCCCCTCGATCGATGCTCGATCCTCTCAGTGGTCACTCCTACTGGTGCTCTTCCTCGTCCTCCTCCTCCTGCTCCTCCCCCTCCTTCTGGGCATCGCTCGGGCGCGCACATGTCGTGCTCTCTGCGCAGATTCCTCGTGGGCCCGCTCGCTCCACGCGGGCCTCTCGGGCGGTCCCGTGCAGGTCTTGCGGAGCCTTGAGGAGCTTGATTGCCTCCAGCAGCCACGCGGGACATCATTCGAGGAAGAAACACGTGCATAAACCTAAGTTTTCGGAGGTTTGCGCATATGTCTTGGATCTGAGTGGGACCCCCCTGGCGGCGCTTCCGGCGCCGCCCCCCACGAAATCCGCGCGGACCTCCGAAATCCGCGCGGACCTCCCGTGGTTCTAAAAGCAGCCGCACCCGAAAGCAGCGCGTCCGAGCGACGGCCAGCCTCTTCGCTTGCGTCAGAGGTGCAGGCGGTAGCGATAGTCAGACGTTCCAGGATTTCCAGGATTCCCCGGATTTCCTCTCAGCATCGTGGACGCAGGCTGCAGAACCGGCCAGAGACTGCGGAATATTTGGAGCCCATCTTTGGCCAACCGTATCATGGCATCGCTTCCTGTCCAATTGTCCTCTGGCTTGACTCCCGAGGACCCGAGGGAGATCTCAAGGAGCATCCGCGCCTGTCGCCGGAGAGGGCCACCCGTGCTGCTGAGGCCGCGGGGGCGCGCCGCATGCGCCCGCGCGCGCGACGCACGGGGCCGAGCCGAAAGACTTGGGCCACGAAGGCCTGGGGCCCCGAGGGAAACGAGTCCTTAGGTCTTCTGCCTTGTTCGCCGGAGCAGAAGAAGCCGCACACGCACACACACACACACACACACACACACGCACGCACGCACGCACGCACGCACGCACGCACGCACGCACGCACGCACGCACGCACGCACGCACGCACGCACATACACACACACACACACACACACACACACACACACACACACACACACACAGACACGCAAGCACACGCAAGCACGCACACGCACGCGCGCACACACACACACACACACCAGACACACACGTCTTCGGCGGTGCATGCGGATGTCTTGGATCGGCGTTGAGTCCCAGCGCCGATCCAAGAAATCCGCGCGTAGTTCCGACAGTTCACGTGTATGCAGCTGTTCTCTTTCTCTACGGTCGGACCGAGGTATAAGATCGAGGTCGGTTCGAGGAGGGCACCCTACCCAGTGTTCTTCGTGTCTGTTGGATGTTTTCATGCATCCTGGGGAGGGTACCCTTGGATGTTCTGTTTGTTTTGGTCGGCGGAGGGTGTCATGCTCTTGAGAGATGTTCTGGTGGCCCAGGTCCGAAGGTTTTCGCCCTGTTTGGGGTCCCAGAGTCGGCCACGCGCAAGGGGGGGGGTAAGGGGGAGGGGGAAGGCTTCTTAGCAGCACCCCTGCTTCTTAAAAGGCGCGGGCCTTATCTCCAGATGTAAGGCCGGCGCCTTCTAAGACGCAGCCTCCTTCCAGGGAGCCTTCCTCCCTCCCCCTATACCCCCCCCTCTGCGCGTCACCAACAGAGCCCTCCGCGGGCCCCGGGACCGTCAAGAAACGGCTCGGGGCAGCAAGCTGGTCCTGGGGGGAGCGCGCCCGCGGTCCCGGGCCCACTCCCCTCCGGGCCCGTGTCCGTGGAGGCCGGGGAACAAGGGGGAAGGTGGGGTCGGACCAGGGCGTAGAACGCGGCATGGTATGAGGCCAGTCGTGGGGGTCGACTTTGGCCCCCCGCGAGGGTCTCCGACGGGCCTCCTCGCCTCCCCCTCGCCTCCCCCCCCCCGCCCCCTCGCGGGTCGCTGCGGGAGTCTGTCAATGGCCTGCCAGTGGCTTGGCCGTGAGTGGGCCGTCAGTTGGTCCATGTGTGGTCCGTCGGTGAGCTGTTAGTGGTCCGTCAGTGGTCTGTCAGTGGTCTGTCAGCGAGCTGGCAGTGAACTGTCAGTGGACTGTCAGTGGTCTCTCAGCGGTCTGTCAGTGGTCTGTCAGTGTCAGTGGTCGGTCAGTAGGCTGTCAGTGGTCTGTCAGAAGTCGGTCAGTGGACTGTCAGTGGTCTGCCAGTGGTCTGTCAGTGATCTGTCAGCCGTTTGTCAGTGGTCTCCCAGTGCAATGTCTGTCAGTGTCTGTCATTGGTCTGTCAGGGGTGGGGTCAAAGTACGAGGAATGGGTGGGACCACAACGTACTTCGACCCGTCTTACTGACGGACCACTGACATACCACTGACATACCACTGACAGATATTGACAGATACTGACAGACACGGACAGACCACTGACAGACCACTGACGGATCATTGACAGCCAATTGACCGACCATTGACAGATTTCCCACAGAGCATTGGCAGACGACTGACAGCTCTGACCGACGTCGAGGGTTGGCATAGCGTTTGAACGCATGACCCGCTGCTCTAACGGTGCTTATCCTGCGAAGGTCCATCGAACGCAACGGTGTGTGTGTGTGTGTGTGTGTGTCACGGGTAATGTGTATTGGTGCAACGGCTGATGCGAGGTATGGGGCTTGATATGCCCGTCGGCGGCCATGGCTGGGGTGGGAGGCGCGCTTTGGGCCGGGGGTAGTTGCGGTGGTGAGGGTTCGGTATGCCCTGGGGACGGGTCCCCGAGGGGCGCCCTGGAGCGTTCCTCGGGAGGCCCCGGGGGCGACTCTGGGTGGGCCCTGGTCCCACCGGTGGGTGTTGGTCGTTAAGTACGTTGTGGTCCCACCCCAGAGGAGAAGCACACCCAGGCATCTAGGCACAAAAAAACGCTTGGCATCGCTCGGACGTGTGCATTTTTTCTCGGCGAGAACCATCGAGAACCATCCTGGACCATCGAGCAACAAAAAACACGCACGAAACCGAAAAATGTACGGGAAATGGACGTCCGAGCGACGGCAAGTACGTTGTGGTCCCACCCTAGAGGAGAAGCATACCTAGGCATCGGGGCACAACAAAAACGAGGTCGTATGCGCTGACATTGGCGCGTGAGCTGCCCGCGTAAGTTCGCGCATGAACGCCCTCGTTTCCAACATAGCGTGCCGCTCTGGCGGCCCGCGTAAGCCACCGCGTAAGGTCGCTACGTCATCTCGCGCAAGACCCGTTTCCGATGGTCGCTCACCTGGTGCCTCGAGAACATCGAGGCGGCCGCCGAGTGTCGTTTTGGCATCGCTGGCCTCGGGGAAGAGGTCTAGGCTCCATGGGCCCACACTTCAAACAAAAGAGTTACGCGGCGACCTCAGGGCTGGCCTTCGATGTTGAACGCCAGGTCCCCAGCATGTGAGGTCATTTTGTGTAGCACTGCGTGGGTGGGACACCTGGAGACCGTCAAGCACCATTTTGATAATCGAATCGCACGTCGCATGGAGGGTGTCGAGATGTGTGTTGCTTGCCATGCGAAGGTGTTGTGAATGATATGACAGACTCGCCCCTCAGTCGCCGCCCAGGTTGACTTGCTGGCAGGTTGGATGGTTGGTGGTTTGGTAGTTGCTTGGCCGGTTTGTTGGTCGGCTGGTTGTCTGACTGAATGGGTGGATGCCTTGTTTGGGAGGTTGATTGCGAAGTTGGCTACTTGAATGTTCGTTTGGTAATTAGTAGGCTGGCTGGTTGACAGTCTGCAGGAAAATGATGGGATAAGAGAAAGGACTGGGACTGGGAAAGGGACACAGAACGGATGGGGAGGGGATCATGGTTGAATTGACCAGGAGAGGGGACGAGGTGATGGGAACAGGCTCGGGGATGGAAGGGGACCGCGAGAGGGGATCCACATCCGCGACAGGGGGGGGGACCAGGGGAGGAAGGGGGCCATGGCAGGGAGGCAGGGTGTGGGGGACAGGGACCAGGGGAAGGGGGCGGCGGGGACACGACCACAGCACGCGGCGCATGGCGAATATCCTGCCCACCAGGCCAGACGACAGAGGCGCCAGGGCAAAGAAGGGGCCGGGTGCGGAAAGAGAACCGCCCCCATCCTACGAGAGGCCTCGCTCGATAGACGGGTCCTCGAATGAATCTCCCCTGGTCCCCGGGGGAGGGACAGTTAAAAAGAAGTTCTGCGCGGCAGTGGCAGCACATGCGAATCCATACGTAGCCCCTGGCGAGATAAAGGGGCGGCGACGACGACGGGGGACGGGAACAGGGCGGAGGAGCCAACTCCGCGGGCACTACGGCCCTGGGGGCAGCGGCGTGGACCCCACAGGGCCGCTCCCGGGGAGGGTCACGGGGGCCTTTTGAAGAGGCGGCCCTCTCGTGTCAGGCCGTGCCAGGGGGTGTCGGCCCTGGTCTTTGTTCCGCGCCGGCGGCCCCCAGGGGCGAACCCTGGCGGGCCCGTGGATGGGCGGGGCGTAGACAGCATCGCCGCCACCGACCTGAGTCTGAGGCGGGTCCACCGGCACTGTGCCGGGCCCTTCGGCGTGGATTGGGTGTTTTCCAACGCTTGGATGGCGCGCACTTGAACTTGGTGCATTCGCTACCTCCAAGCCTCTTGCAATCAGCCAGCAGTCCACCAGCCCGCTGTCCCTCTGTGATTTGCCTTCGTTTTGGGCGACTCATAGACCTTCCCGCATACAGTATGTGGCCTTTAGGACTCTGAATAAGGTCCGTCATGATGGGAACTCAATCACGAGAGCTTGCCCCAGGCAGGGGAGGCTGCTGTGCGGGGCTTGCCCGTGAAACCTCTCAGCGGGGAAATCGCCCACGGAGCCAAGGCGAATCTGGCAACAACCCCCAGCGGTGCCCTTCCTCCAGGGGGGGGAACAGGACGGGGAGCAGGGGATGGACCAGGCGGCGGAGGGATCGAAAAACAACACACTACATAAACTGAACATCTATTTTTAGAGGTAGCGCAGCCCGCTTCGAATAGGAAGAAATCAGGGAGACCCTGGAAGTCAAGCTGAGAGGCTGGCCGCCGCTCGGACGCGCGACTTTCGTGACCAGCTGTTTTTCGAAGTGAACTTTTGAAGGTCCGCGCGAACTTCTTGCATCGGCCCTGGCCCCCCTCCCTGGCTCGTGGAGCACGCCAGGGGCAGCGCCGGAGACGCCGCCAGGAAGTCAAAGCGCCGACCGGAGAATTCCGCACGGACCTCTGCAAGTTGATGTCTATGCCGCACCTGCTTCCCCTATGGATTCCCCGTGGGTGGACACTCGGCCGCGCAGCAGCCGCGCCCGCGGAGGTCCACAGGCAGCGCAGGGCTCGCAGCACCTGGAACCTCCGCGCCCAGCTCCACGGAGCCGTCTGCGCCGCAGCCCCTCCGGACTGCCCGCAGGCCTCTGCGGCAGGAGGGCGAAGCTCCTCGGGCGAATGCCCGCGCCGGCCCCTGCCGGGCGCGGGCCAGAGGGGCAGAGCCTTGCCCACAGCCCAAGAAGCTCCAGGGTGCGCACGCGCTGCATGTGTCGGGGGGTACTTTGCCTCGATCCGTTGATCTGGGGCCCTGGCGCCAGGTCCGCGGATCCTGACTCCATGTCAGCGTGTGCCCGAGAAGCGCCGCCACGTTGGCGTGAGTTTCTTGCAAGGAGCATCTTTCCATCTCCGCGGGGGGCCGTGTGGACTCTGCAACCTGTTCTGTGGCAGATCAGTCAGCCGCATAGTTGCCGACAGCTCGCCACCACCATTCAGCGCTTCTCTCGAGGCTCTCCGAGCCCTGGTGCGCCTTCACATTCTCGTGCCGGCCGAAAGGGGGGGATCGGGAAAGGGGGGGGGACGAAATCTGCTGCATGCAGCTTGTTTCGGCCCCACCGAGGGGCCCATTCCTCGATACATAGCCGCCTCCGGCGCCGGGAGGCGCCGGGAACATCAGCTACGTGAGCCGATTCTCCCCTCCCCTTTTTGGCATCGCTCGGACGTGTGCATTTTTTCTCGGCGAGAACCAGTGAGGGCCATCCTGGACCGTCGAGCAAAAAAACACGCACGAAACCGACATATGCACGGGGAATGGACGTCCGAGCGAGGGCAAGTCGCCCGGCCCGACATTCGCGACACGTTGCCTGGCGTGCCAGGGTAGGTCGGGAGGGGAGCAGGGAATCCGTGGCACGCCGCCGTTGAGAGCCCGTTGGCGTGTTACTCTCCTCGTTTCTGTCCAGAAGTGTCCGTCCGGAGGGAAACAAATACCCTGTGACGTACCCAACCATTTGTATCATGGGAAACGAGGAGTTGGCCGAAACTTGCACGGACAATCAAATTGCAGGATCCGTTGTTTGATATGTAAGCTATTTGGGACACGCGCCAATGGAATAATGCGCAGGAGAACCATACAAGAACGAGGGGCGACAACTACAGGCTCGAAGAGGACATGGGGAGTCGGGAACGAAGAGCAGGAGAAAGACGTGCGGGAAACCCACTGCGTTGGGCCCCCCAGCAGGCCTCGAAAGTGGCGACAGTTTCACGGATCGCAGACCCCCAGGGATGGCGAGGTCCCATTTGAATCCGCCGTGGGTACCAACTGTGCTGGGCCCCCCAGCAGCCCTCGAACATGGCGACAGTTTCACAGATCGCAGCCCCCCAGGGATGGCGAGGTCCCATTTGAAATCGCCGTGGGTGCCCACTGTGCTGGGCCCCCCAGCAGGCCTCGAAAAGGGCAACAGTTTCACAGATCGCAGCCCCCCAGGGATGGCGAGGTCCCATTTGAAACCGCCGTGGGTGCCCACTGTGCTGGGCCCCCCAGCAACCCTCGAATGTGGCGACACTTTCACATATCGCAGCCCCCAGGGATGGCGAGGTCCCATTTGAATCCGCCTCGGGTGCACACTGTGCTGGGCCCCCCAGCAGCCCTCGAATGTGGCGACACTTTCACAGATCGCAGCCCTCCAGGGATGGCGAGGTCCCATTTGAATCCGCCGCGGGTGCACACTGTGCTGGGCCCCCCAGCAGCCCTCGAAAGTGGCGACAGTTTCACAGGTCGCAGCCCCCCAGGGATGGCGAGGTCCCATTTGAATCCGCCGCGGGTGCCCACTGTGCTGGGCCCCCCAGCAGCCCTCGAAAGTGCCGACAGTTTCACAGATCGCAGTCCCCAACAGCCCTCGAAACGCAGCGACGAGCCAGGTAAAAGGCAGGGGGGAAGAGAGGGACGGGAGGGGGTGGGAAGGTTCGCGCGAGCAGTGCTGGATTCAAAACGAGAACCCAACGCAGGAGGGTTGGAAAAACAATAACATACGGACGACATGAATCGTCGATTCCCCAGAAAATACGGGAGCATATGGGCAGTGGGGGGGGAGACAACAGCCCAGGAAATATTGGAACATGTGGGGGATCCAGTGACTTGTGTGTATTTATATGTGTGTCCCAGGGCCCCATTCAGTTACTCCTTCGTTTCTGTCGGAAGTGCCTGGTGCCTCTCCGGCAGCAAGACGCAGTCGGGCTCCCACGACGGAGTGGCATTGATGTGTTGGCTTGGTTTCCTCGGCAGGTACTCCTCGCATGGGAGAGCTGACGCCAGTGAGGAAAGAGGGTGGCCTGGAGAACCGACGGGCAGACTGGATCTCGAGCCCGACGGCGCCTCCGGAAGTCACCGCGAGGAGTCACTGTACCAAGTCCCGTTGCCCTGGGGGCGCGGGCCGATTTCGAGAACGGGCGTCACCGGGGAGGGGGGCAGGGGGAGGGGTGGGGCAGGGCGCCAGTCACGCCACGGTTCGCGCTGGCGCCGTTTGGGAAGGCGTAGGAGTGGAAAATTCCCACACGGTGCCATCGCGAGTCGTGACGTGACCAGGTGCTGGGGAGGGGGGCAGGGGGCGGCGGGGCCAGTCACGGGCATGAGTGCGAGTAGTAACAGACGGGCTCCGTTTTGCACAGTGTCGTGGCCGCGGGGCCGCAGATCCAGATCCACAGCATCTCACCAGCCCACCCCCAGGTATGTTTTATGACGGTGCGATCTTATCGGTCCGCCCCCCAATAGGCACTAAAACAGGGAGCAAGTACAGGGATCATGTCGACTCCTCCGACTCGATTCAATTCGATGTCGGTCGATTCCGATTCCGATTCGATTCGACCTTAGATTCCGATTTGGATTACGGTTTCTCAATAGAGGCCTTGCTAGCCTGCCGATTCCCGCCGATTCGATTTCTCCCGGCTTGGCTGCCGATTTCCGCCGATACGATTTATCGATTCGATTATTGGTTCTCCTGCCAGAAGGCGCCAACACAGGGTCAGGTCTGGAGAGACGAGGGGCAAGAGAGAGACAACCGAGCAACTCATGCAGGCCAGGAGGGATTTTCACAGCATTGGGTCCCCTGGGGAGGGGGGCTGGTGGTCTTGTTATTTCGCCGTGTCATGCTCTATGCTGTGTCATTTTGTGTTTGTGTGTTTATGTTCTCGATGTGCACCTGCATGGACATAGAATATTGTCGTCAGTGGTATTCGTGAAGACGTTATCTTGGCTTGGAGGCGACAGACGTTGACTTCGCCAGAGAATTGGCACGCCGCCCTTCAATTTCTTTCATTCACGTTGCCTTCTCTGGCTGTGTTGTATTTGCAGTCCTCGCAACAGCTTGTGGCAGCTTGTACTTGCAGTCCCCTTTCTTCACTTGGGGCATGTGCCACAGGGCGCGCTCTGGCCCCATGAGGGCTTCCAGGTCCGCAGACGAATCGAGGAAGAGTCATAAGCAACAACTTTCAGAGCCACGCGAATTTTCCGGATCCGCGCTGAAACCCCCTCCCTGGCGCGCGGAGCGCGCCATGGGCGGCGCCAGAGGCGCTGCCGGGCAGTCAAGACGCTTAAACATCATTGTGTCGACGCGCAGAAATGCCATGCATGAGACCTTCATTGAGTTACGAGCGGATTTCTCGGCACCGCCTCTGGTGTGTTCCGCGCGCCAAAGAACAAGGTCCAGCTCAGATCCAAGACATCCACGCGGACCTCTGAGAAAATATGTTGATGGCGTTTGTACCTCCTCTAGTGGGGGACCTTCCGTGGAACGATCCGGTTCATTCAGACTCATCCATACTCATATTCAGACTCACTCATATCAAAATTCACTCACCGTCAGGCTGACTCGCACTCATCCCAGGCTCACTCATCATTCAGACACATTCAGATTCACAGACTGTGGGGGTGCCTCAGGCGGTTTGCCTGTTTGGTTACTCAACATCTCTCGCTGTCGGAGCGATTTGGGAAGAAGTCTCAGGCGAGGCGCTGGTTTCAGCATTCCCAGGGGGAGGCGGCAGGGGTCTATCACGGCCCCGTTCGCGCCCAGAGTGTGGGGATGTCTCAGGCGGTTTGCGTGTTTCGGACCAGAAGTTCTTTTGCTTTCCACGCAGTTCTGGAGGCTGTCTCAGGCGAGGCGCTGGTTTCCGCGTTCTTCAGGCGGGGGCGGCAGGGGGTGTGTCTCCCGGGCTCGTTCGCGCCCGGATCGTCGGAAGGTCTCAGGCGTTCAGCGTGTTTGGGATTGTAACATGCTTAGCTGTCGGAGCAGATTCGGAGCATGCCATTGGCGAGTCGCTGTGGTTCGAAAATCGAGCCTCGAGGATCTAGGATTAAGGACTTGAGGGGGGCTCTGAGGTTTTGTTCGTCGCTACGGCTGGACGCGGGTCTGAAAATTTGTGCGTTTTGAGCCCGGGGGGAGTTCAGGGGTTGATTTGACCAGTTTTCGACGGCCAGTGTATTTTCAATCTCCTGATCTTTTATCATCGATCCTGAGCCTGGAGGTCGTTTAATGACCCCGGGGACGTCAGAAGTCGGTTCCACGACTTCGGGAGGCCGTTTTCTGGCCCCGGGGACGTCAGGAGTCGTCCCGAGGAAGAGAGAGAGGAGGAGGAGGGGAAGAGGATGAGGAGGAGGAGGAGGGGGAGAAGGATGAGAAGGAAGAGGAGGAAGAGGAGAAGGAAGGCGGGTGGCTGGCGCCAGGGGATCGATGTTCGAGGCTCGAGGTTCGATGCCATGCTACCGCCCAAGGCGATTTCGGAATACGACGGAAAATAAACGTTTGTATCGACGGGAGTCCCAGGATGGAAATCTGTTCCCGGGAGGTGGGGTCAAGGCCAGAACCCAGCCTAAACAAAATGATGATCCATTATTTGCTCCCTCCCTCTCCTTTCTCCCTCCTCCTCCCCTTCACCTGCCCTTCGGCTATATTGACAGTGTCTATTGGTTCAACCTACCCCGGGGAGAGAGCCTATCTGGGAGGGATCACGGCCAGACCGGCGGGGTATTCACACTCGGATCATTCAACATCAGGTCCATTCGCAATCATATTCACTCACATTGAAACCCACACGCACTCAGACTTGCGACTCACTCGCACTCAGACTTGCAGACTGTGGAGATGTCTCGATTGAGCGGCTGGCTCTCGCACACAGGCGCTCATTGACGATGCCCATGGAAAGACGCCCAAGAACGTGGCATGCACATATGTGAATCCCCGCGTCGATTCGTTGGCCCATGGGTTCTGTGGCTGACCAGCTGGTAGGCTGGCTGTGCTATTGTTTGAGTAGTTGGTTCGCTGCATCGTCCGAGGTCCGCAAGACGCCACCAATATGACCAAAGAAGGCTCCAGCAGGCGCCCAAGATGGCCAAAGACGCCCCCAAGACGACCCAAGATACCCTCACGAGGCGCACGAAAGTCCCCAATAGGCCCCAAGAGATGGAGCAGTCAGCTCAAGTCATCACAATACCTCACCACCCACCAAACCACCCCAACCCAACCCGAAGGCCCCAATTTGCCCTCTATCCCCAGGGTGGGGGGGGGCGTCGGGGAACGTCGCAAAATCACGTGTGGAACTCAACTCGTACCACCCCAACCCGAAATTCCAGTCTTCGGGTTAGGTTGGGGTGGTTTGGTAGGTAGTCAATGTCTTCTGTTAATGGTTTCTGATTTGCCTGCCTCCCAGGCTTGTCGGCTCACGGGGGGCCTGCAGCGCCCAAGACCATTCCCACTTTTCCCCAGCGGGGCCACAAGAGAGGGCCTCCAAGAAACCCACGAGAGTGTCAGAGGGCCCTGGCATGCCCCCGATATTTGAACGAGCGTGTTCTACGGCTGCTGGCGGATAACCTGGGCGGTCACTGGGGGTTCCCAACCCGCCCCCCACCCCAACCCCTCGAAAACCGGGGGGGGTCATTGCCGGTTCGAACCTCCTCCTCCCCCCCCCCCAGTCCATCATGAAAAGGGGGGTGGTCACTACCGGTTCTGGGACAGTAGTACAGAGGGGAGAGTGGTGGGGACAGTGGGGACAGTGGGACAGCACAGTGGGACAGCGGCGGGGACAGTTGGGACAGTGGGACAGTGGTGGGAACAGCGGGGACATCGGGGCAGTGGTGGGGACAGTGGGAAGAATGGGGAGAGTGGGACCGTGGTGGGACAATGGTGGGAACAGTGGGGACAGTGAGACACTTGTGGGGGCACTGGTGGGGACAGCGGGAACAATGGTGGGAACAGTGGGGACAGTTGGACAGCGGTGGGGACTACAGTGGTGGGACAGTGGGGACAGTGAAACAGTGGTGGGGACAGTGTGGTGACGGCGGTGGCGAGGACGGTGGTGGGACAATGGGACAGAGGCACAGTGGGGACAGAGGTGGACAGTGGGGACAGTGGTGGGAACAATGAGACAGCTCGGTGGGACAGCGGCGGGGACAGTGGGACAGTGGGGAGAGTGGGACCGTGGTGGGAACAGTGGTGGGGACAGTGGGGACATTGCGACAGTGGCGGGGGCACTGGTGGGGACACTGGGGGCGGTGGTGGGAACAGTGGGGGCAGTGGTGGTGGGGACGGTAGTGCTGCGGACAGCGGTGGGGGATGTGGTGCGGTGTGGACCCGGGAGTCGTTTGCCGGCGGTGAGTGGGGGGGGGTCGAACCGACCCCCCCGGGTTTTTTGTAGGGGCGGGGGGGGGGGTCGGAACGGTAGTGACCTTCCCCGGTTTTCCATAGGGGGGGGAGGGTTCGAACGATAGTGACCCCCCCCCCCTTGGTTTTCCGGAGGAGGTTGGGGGGAGGGGTTAGGGGCGGGTTTGACGGGGGGGAAGGGGGGGGGTCCAGCAGGGGGAGGGATTTTCGAAGGGGGGGGAACCCCGGGTTCCGGAGGAAAAGGGGAGGGAATTTTCCACAGTAAAGCGGTGGTGGGTCACTCTCTCTCTCTCTCTCTCTATCTCTCTCTTTCCAATATTTCGTTCAGAGGGACCCACGAGAGCCCGCATGGGGGCCAAGATTCGCCCCAGCATTGCGCAGAGAGCACCAAAAGGATGCCAAGCAGTTTTAGAATGCCCACGAGGCGCCTAAGCCAACTCAAGAGGCCCCCAAGTGAAGGGGGGCCCAAGATGCATCAGTGAGGCCCCGAGAGCCCCGAGAGGCCAGGCCCCAAGAGCCGCCACGGGTGACACGAGCCCGCAGCAGCCACGAGCAGGAAGCAGCAGCCAGGGCAAAGTGGTTGCCATTCCCGTGTTGGCCAGATCTAACACCCCCCTGGCCCGACGAGCCAGCGTGTTCTTGGTTCATCGCTCCTCTTGGCAAAGCGCGACAGCGAAGTGAAAGGGGTTTGGGCATCATCCGTTTTCGCCTCGCGCTCCTTCATTGCCTGCTTCTGCTGGTCTCCCGTCTTTTCTTGCCCATCCTGATTGTCGCGTCTCCTGTGCCGTCACGCGTCCGACGCTCATCCTGTTCTGTCACCCGCGTAACTATGCTTCATGATCTGTCACAGTGTGCTCAGGTCTGTTCTATTCAGGTCTGTTCTATTCATCGGCCTACACATCCGCCGATCCCATGGCGGCCCTGGATCCCTCGCTTCAAGCCAGGGTCTGTCGCGCGCATTCGGGACGTGCTCGTTGTCGTAGAAGCCTCTTCGTGCTTTTGTGGCGTTCCAAGCGTCTGCTGGGCACACCGGCGCGGCACCGGGCACACGACGGTGCCTCACGCCCGGGCTCGAGCCGTGTTGGCCTGCCGACCTGGCTCCGAATCCAGACATGTTCGCGTTGTAAAAAAAACGCCTTCCTCGGTATCCGGGGGGCCCTCGCCGGGCCCAGGAGCATCAAACAACTATGAACAGCTGGCCCCGGGGAACTAGTCGGGACCTCCGGGGACCGCGAACGGAAAGACAAGGACATGGCATGTCTGTGAAGTCGGCGGCGTCCTGCTCCGATTGTTCTAGATCCTGGGCCTCGCCGCCGCCTGCCGCGACCCCCATGGCTGTCTCTTGGCCGCCGTGCTCCAGGGCTGGCGCTGCGATCTACAGTCATCGTGCTACCATATGGAGCACTGGGTGAGGAGCGAGGGGGCTTTTCTTGCCCACGGCTAACCATGGCCACGAACCAGCTTCCCGACCCAGCTCGAAGGAACGGCCCGACAACTCGAGCCCCTCCTAGGCCCCTAAGCGGTTCTTCTTCCAGAAAGTCATCGGTACTGCTCTAGGGGGCAGAGTCAGCGACAGGATCGAGGCGCCGGCCGCCAGGAAGCGTCAAAGAGAGAGAGAGAGAGAGAGCGCTCGCAGGA